TAATGTTATCTGAATTATTCTTCAGTACATTCGCATAAGATAATTTATTTGGATTCATATTTTGCACGTTTGGAATAGTTTTATCCGTAGCTTTTTCTACAAATCGGATTTGAGGAGTATTTACCATTTGACTTCGGCGACTCTGTATATTATTTGCCAACCTTACTTTTAGATCTTTATATACAGGACAGCCCTTATAATTGGCAGTGTGATTTCCTCCACAATTACTACATTTTTTAATGGTGGCATCATCTTTCTTGACGTGCATTCAGACGTGGGATTTAGAGCCCCACATGCTACGCTTATACTGCGCAGTGTGCAGTAGGATTTAGTATGGCCGAATTCTTGGCAGTTGGTGCATTGCACTGGGCCGTTGCTTTTGTGTGGCTCTTCTACTGTTACCCTAGGATGTAGCAGATATTTTAAATTGTATATGGGATGAGTTTCGTTTTTCATTATCTGACTCGAATTTGGCGCTAGTACTACTTTAAACATTGGCTTGGGTAGTTTGTTTCTATTAAGTATATTTATAACCAATTTAGTACTGGAACCATTTTCATCAAGAGCCTCTTTTATTTCATCTGACTTCACTGAGGCTTCGATACCTTTAATAACAACTATTAAGCCTTTCGAGCTCTTCAGTTGATATAAGTAATAATTTTTATTACTCCACGATAGAGAACTTACTATGTTCTTGAAGCTTTTTTCACTGCAAGTTTGAATTTTTGTTTCATCGATGATTTTTTAAAGGCACACAAAGTTATTAGTGCCGACTCTTTTGGTAATTCTATTTACTAACGTGCTTGATACACGTTCGCGCAAGTAAATTGGCGGTGGTTTGGCACTTGCAACTGTGGTAGTACCCTTTACGCTGTCCTCACTTAATAAAGCAAATCGGTTGCTACTGGAGGGTTCTTGGATTTTTATGTTAGTTCCCTTCATTTGCACTTTTTCGTTGTCGGTGTTATTAAAAGGACTGGATTTCCTCTTGATATTTATAAATCGATTTAGTCCTGTCTGTATTATTGTGTTCTTTTTTATCACACTGCCGACTTAGCCGTCTGTTTAGCGCTAGCTGAGTACTGCTGAGGGTCTTCTGCTTGCATGTTGCTTTCTTTTGGCGTTGTTTGCTCGAAATAGGAAAAATAGGCATTTTAGAGTCTTCGATCCGGCGGGCTTAGCCGCGACGCACTCATTTTTGTTTTTGTACTCACTGGATAACTTTTTTGTTTATTTCTGCTTGTACTTATTGTTTATTAACATTGTGTTGTATTATTTAATTTGGAGTTTATTAGTGTTTTCCTTTTTTTATAAGTGTTCTTCAGATGAAAAAGGAGACCCCACAGTCTGCTCCAATTACGACACGTGAAAAGAGTATTGATGACAACCACCTCGTCGTCGATTTTAAAGCCGCCTTGAACAGGACGAATAGAAGCTGTATGAATTTGGTATCCCCTCAAAACTTATACGGCTATGTAAACTGACGTTAAGCAACGCTAAAAGCTCCGTTAGTATCGGAAAGGACCTCTTCGAGTCGTTTGATACCAAACGAGGTTTCAGACGGGTGATTTCTTATCGTGTGATTTCTTTAATTTATTGGTGAAGAAAATAATAAAGCGGCTGAGCTGAATAGAGAAGACGTACCCCCGTGAAAGCACTGTGCTTTCTCCAAACTGCATAAGGAATTGAAGGATGTGGGTCTAATGGTGAACGAGGGTAAGATGAAATATCTCCTGTCATCACACAAACAGTCATGGCATCCCCTACTTGGCTCTGACGTCACTGTTGACAGTCATAACTTTGAACGCAGAATCACTCTTGCCAATTTTTGCAGGAAGCAGAATGTTATTGCACAAAAGTATGCTGTGGAAATTGGGCGTAGGATGGCGCACTATAAAACACTTGCAGCTGCAGTTTGACTTCATCTTATTAGTTTTTTAGCCGCTAAGGATAACTACAACTTCAAGCATCAAGATATGATTCACACCATTCATTGCCATAGAAGAAAGTTTATCAAACTAAGTGAAATATTTTTGTAAAATCGTTAATAAACTAACTGTGAACTAATTGTGATGCAAAACTTACATATACGAGTACATATCTGAAAGCAATAAAATGAAATCACTAATGAAAGTAAGACATGTTAACTTTGTTAAAAAAGGTTATTGATCATTGCACATTGTTCGTAAAAATAAAATTCAAAGTTAAACTAAAATATAACGTGTTTTGAAAATAAATGTATTTGACTACCAAAAGGGGACTGAAGTATAATTTAGGCATTGAATGAAATGTACCTTACTTTTTAAATGAAATTAAATAACATGTTTCCCAAAATAAATTAATTTTTTAACTTTGTCATTGTCATTACCGGAACTTAATGTAACAATAAACATAGCTCCATAATCTCATTTCATTTAAAAAAATGTATTTTTTTTATTCAGTTTGACAATTCTGTTGTAATTTAAAAATAAAATCCAAATACAAATGTAAGCTAAGAACTATTGTGGAAGGAAAGAGGATTCCGTCTTCTTGAGAATGTAAGAATGCTATTATGTTCATACGATTGATTTATCACGTAATATTCTCTCGTACGATTTCCGGTAACTCTACCCCTGGTCAATATAATGTAAAGTGTAATAATTTAAAATTTCATGATACTAGGTTTGTTAAAGAAAAAGTTAACATTGATCCGTATGAAGACAAATATAGACGAATTGGGGACGATGATTTAAGTGCAGGCTTGTGGAATGTTAAGTCTGTTAGTTTGGAAGTTGCCGCTGCCCAGAAAGCTGATGTCCTTTTAAGGCTGCCCTAAGGTCTGACATCCAAGAATCGGGTCAAGAACAGAACCGGCAGGTCCTTGTGACATGTATCATAGCAGCAATATAAAGGAGCACAACCGTAGTGTTGGATTCAAGATGGAAGAGAAGCTCTGTCTACGAGTCCTGCCATGAAAGTCTAGCCACAATCTGCAGCAAAGCACGGAGAAGGACGATGTAATTAAGATGCTATGCAAAAGCTCAACGTCGAAGAGCTTCACTCACATTAGACATCCAAACGATTTCTACTTGAGAATAGTTGTTTATAGCGTATATGCAGACAAAAAAAAAAACACCGAAATTTGGAGTGTGAAGAGCTTTAGAAAAATTTTCAAAAAGAAGCTGTGACTTGGAGAATGTTTCTGGATCGGAGCGACTGATTCGCAGAGTATACTGAATTTTTATATAGCTGCTAAATGAAAGTAAAACATAAGGGCAAAGAACTGATTGACCAAGTCGCACCGTAGATTGACCAAGTCGCACCGTAATGTTCTTTGCGCAAACAAGAGGATCCAACAGTATGCGTCAATTGCATTTTGTTCTAAGCCGCTGCGAAACGACTAAAAGATTTTTATGAGGTGCTTTTCATTCATGTAAAGGACATACTCTGGGAGGTTAGCATTTCGCCTTAGACGTTTGCAGTTAGAAAAATTAATTTCCAAATTTTTTTATTGAATAAATTTCTTATTACTTGTGATATTGGATAAGCTTTATTGTTGTTTTATTTTCTTTATTTTTTTTCTTAGTACTTTTTTCAATATTAGTTTAGTTACATTTCACATATTGAAATAGATCGACCCTTAGTAAGCTTTCCGGAAATGTTATATCTTTTAAGTTGGACATAATACTGACGACTAAGGTCAAAATTGATGTGAACCGTACCGCTGTAGCTGCTAAAGATGATTGCTATTTCAATCACCCAGGACCGATTCATTACTGGATAGAAGTATCGAGAATGGTTGGAAAATTTGGGTCAACACACATACTGGAAGACTGTGGATAAGAAGCGAATGGATTTTTATGAATAGCTGTTATGTATTGTCAAAAATTCACTAGGAAAAGTTGAGTGGTCCCTTCCTTCTGTAATTTGAATAATTTACTTAGTTTGTTTATTTAAATTAATTTTCTATTATTACGGGTGTTGGAATTCTTTCAGTGCCCTTATATTTAAAAAAAAAAGGATGAAATAAAAGTAGAGAATTTCTTTAGCCCTAAAACGTTTACTAATACGACAAGGCTGAGTTTTGAAAGTATTTGTAGATATCAAATATGTGATTTTACCACAACACATCCCTAACCGGAAGTAAAGGTTAAAATATACTGCCATTCGGCACTCCAGGCTTCGAATCCTGGTTCGACCAACATCTAAAAGTTGTAAGAAAATTAATTTAAATAAAAAAGAAAAGATAAATTTGCGGTCGTCCCCCAAATGCAGTTCCATATAAAATAACATTATAACACGGTATTTATTTTATTTAGGCTTTTATTTAAAACAATAAAGCTTAATTTAAATTTGTATTACAACTGAGACAAAAAAATGGATTCCCAAAATTGAAAATATTTATGGCCAATAATAGGAATTCTTATAATCCAAAACTTTTTTTGGTGACCAATTGTTCTGTATATTGTGAGTCTAGACTAATTACTTCAATTATTTTGCGATAAATTTATTTAGATTTATTACAATTACTGGCTCGTAGAACAATCTACTTCGGTCGATTAGTCACTGTAACACTGAACCTAATGGAGTTATATATTGAGCATTGCATATGCGAAGCTTTTACCCATGCTCCTATTTTCAACTCATTCAAAATTTCCGGAGACTTCATCGTTTTAGCAATTTGAGAAATAAGTTTAAGGGCAAGACAAAAAGTTTGGAACACTTAGAAAAAACAATTAGTGCATAATTTATATTGGCGAAGGAAAAAAAATAACACATCCACATACAAGGCAGTAAAATTGCTCAATAACACCATCGATTTGATTAAATCATCTTCATGTCTGTATGCATACAAAAAAAATTTAATGAGATATAAAACATACTTTAGAAGTACAAATTTTTACATGTATGTTAATAAATATTAGCTTTCATATATGCTCGCCCGAACAGCACCTTTCAACGCTCTCAAAATTTCAGACATTTCGTGATTTCTATGCAGTTTTATACGATTTGTATATAGTGCGAGTGTGGGTAATATGAACATATGTAAGATATTGTTTGTACATACAAGTTTTTGTTGAGTGCTTTCTCTTCGAAATCCACTTTGGCTGAAGACAACTATACTTGTTGCGTACTCAATCAGTTTTACGTAGCTCTCGATCGATTGGGTTGCGATAACAGCATCAGCAAACGACGGCTTGTTATAGAGTGAAATCTTAAATTTTTTACCAATTGATTATTATAACCGGTAGTTTTAAATCAATGTTAAAAGTTTTGCTTACGAACAAAAAAAGAATTTAATAATAACGGGCTGTTAAAAGGTCAATAGATTCAGATCATACGTTTTTATGAAAACTCAGCAGACAATTCGATATTGCAGCGATACACCCTCTGTGTCCGTTAAATATAGCAACTTCTCATCAAAAATACTGAATATTGCAAATGTATAAGCCGGCACGTGCTCATAAACTTGCATACATATATCGGTTTGCACGCAACGGCATAACATCTAGACCTGAGGCGCATTAGCAATTACTACATACACGTACATCCATGATATATAGAGCACACATTGTATATTCGTAGCCTAATTTTAACCAAATCATAATATCATCAAAAAACCGATAAAAACGAATCTTGCTTAGAAAAAAAGATGTAAGGTTTGTCTTATTTTAGCATTTCCTCCGAGCCCTCTTAGAATTAAACGTATAAGTTTGCAAGACATTATTGGTAATGTTGGTTCCGTAATGCCATATAGATACAGGTGTAATAATTTCCAAAAACAGAGTACAAATAAGAATCGAGTTTCACCCATTGAATTTTACATAACATGAGAATACTTCTCCGAATTACTTTCTTTTATGAATTTGTGAAGTGAGTTGCCTCCTAACTTTTTATACGATATTTCAGCATATTTTACATATTACAAACTTCGATTCACCAAAAGTAATCGCTAAATTTAGTATTATTTAGTTATACGTGTATGCCACTTAGCAGTGCAGCCGAATTTATTTTCAAATAGAATAGAATTAATTTATAAATATATGTGTTTCTTAAAATTGCTTAAAAAGATTGTCGATTACGACCGCTGAAACTCAGTATCGTACGAGTATCTATTTCACACTTTTCTAATACTTTTGAAATGTTGCGGCTCTTAATTTATTGTGCTCTATAATTTTTCTACTAAATCGGTGCTCGGTCCATTTTCAGGTATGAGAAGTTTTTCTCGACAATCTAACAACCCATTAAAATACAATCACAAAAGCCCAAGCATATTCACATGAGAATCATTTTTATATGTATCTATGTGCATATCTTTTATATATTACAAGTTTAAAAATAATTATCACAGCAGGTTGAGTTTGAATATCTTCATCGATAACACTTTTGAAAGCATATTTCTTAGGTTACAGCCCAATAGCGATATTTTAAAAATAGGTATATAATATGTGGACACACAATGGAACGTAAATCCATTAGCTTTCACAATTTTTCTGGCATTTTCTTCAATTTTGTATATTAAATGCAAATATGTCCGAATACACTTGATTATTAGTGAGATTCAAATGAAATGCATTTTGCCCATCCTCAGAATTTTAAGCACTGTATAGAACATTCTAATTTATATTATTTTAACACAAAATACGCTCGTAATGTGTTTTTAAAGCATATCAAACGAAGTACAAATACAATGTTATTGTAATTTTTTAGAACGAATAACGCCAATGTAAAATTTAAGAAAAGAAAGAGGTATTTCCCAAAAATCTTTAATTATAACTAGACTTTATTTATGAAAGTTAAAATGAAAAATACTGCTTTAAAATTATTTTCTTGGGCAGCTGGTTTCACACTCTTATAGACGGTACAATACCAGAAGATTCTAATCTATCGTATTAAGGATAACCCAAGTATGCTAAAATGATTTCTCACAGGAGATTGCACACTTCGTAAGGATATGCATTGGCTCTAATGAGACTTGGCGATTCTGTGAGCTATTACTAGACTTACTGCACTTACTGTTTGAATGCGAAGCTGTCGCTAGAAGAGGACAAAGTTTTTTGGAGTCACTCAGCTGGAGCAAAATCACATTAAATCAAACAACCCTTCTAGCATGCTAGATTTTCTAAAGGCGTTACGACTTTTTGATATAATACGAAAGATTTAGGGGGCACAATAGACCACTGGTCACATATCCTCTCAACACATCATTATATCTTCTAAAATTATTGGGGACAGTTTTTGTGCACCACAGAATCTTTATAAAAAAAGGTACGACATCGGACCAACTAAGCAAGTGCGATTTAAGGCTATCTCTATTTTTTTGAGAATTCTGTACACAGTTTCTAAAAATCTTTATTAAATGATAACTATCATTAAAAAAGTATATATCTTTTCCATTTACCTAAAATATGGTTTGCAACTGAAACTTTTGGTATTCTAGCTAAGTTAAGAAAATCGTTGCCCAGATCGCAAACAAAATGACAAGGAATGATACATATATTCTACATTTGGGTTATGACCAAGAATACGATATGTATGCTTCGCCATAAAGTAGGACGCAAATGATGAGTGAATTGTAGAGCTTAGGTTTGGTCAATCGAGAGAAGAACTTACTTTTCAATTGCTTACTCAGTTCAAAGTATCAATTGTTGGTAAAAGATCCCTATTGATCCCTAAAATAGGCTAAGTAATGACTGTCAAGAATGACATGGGAGCCTAATCACGATGGCGACTGTTTTTTTTTATGATAAGAGACATTTTATTCGTCTTCGTTTTTTTATCAAACTTGGAGAACAACGCGATTTCTCACCCTCGTCTTTGTTTGTTTTGTTATTGGAGTTTATTTTTGCGCGTGTTGGGCACCACGTATGCGTAGGGTAACCGCATGAAATTACGCCTGATCACTTTAGCTTTCCTCCGGACGAATGTTTATAGGCTACTCAGAGGACATTTGGTCTAAAACCGGAAGTCATGAGCTACTTGAACCATATGTAAAATAATTGTTTGTCTCTTAGTGGCATTCGGGGGTGATCTCCATAGGAAAAAGTTAGAAGTGTTGCATACTTTCATAAGCATCTCAAACGTCAGGAAGAAAAAACTAATGCCTGAAATGGTGCTGGAGAAATAAGACGTACGATACCTCATAGTTGAGCATAAGAAAAAATATAGAGAACTACATTTTTAATTTGTGAATTCAATTAGGCTTTGATTTATTTATGCAATTTTGGATTGGGTACATTACGAAGTTATGTTGAAATAAAATTACAGAAATATTTTTTTATATAAATGTGGTTGTTAACTTCCGCAGGCTTTATCTATCCATCAGATTTCTTTTATCTAAAAACTGTTTCAAAATATATAGAGTTTTGTACGTCTTGAACTTAGGATTAGCATTAATAATTAATGATTTATATTTTTTTTTATATATCATTATTTAGCTTTTGCAATGAGCAATGAGCATTATGCAAGTAATTTAATGGTAAAATTGTTTCAATTGAGGTCCAGGCCGTTTAAAATTTCATGACCTTCAAGTAACGACAAAGTAGGCTTGAAGTTGTTGGGCCATGTTTTTCGCGCAGAGGGCGACGGAAAGCGCCATTTCGTAGCCGTAATTTAGAAATTCGAATTGTTTTTTGCCGTTTTAAAGTCTGAAATAATAAACAAATTTAATTGTTAAAACCGGGAGTTCGTACGCCTTTACGTTCTGCCACAAAAAATACAAACTTTGAATAATTTTTGCCTAATATCATGCGAGGGCCCCTTAACTTTTTAGGACTCATGTCATCAACAATACAAAACATATCATGTGATAATCTAATTCTTCAGTTTTATCAAACTTTGAAAAGGTTTCCAAAAGACTATTAACTACAATAAAGTGTTCTTTTATTTTTGGAAACCAAATGAGTGACCTTAAAAATGTATACGCTAAGGTTGACATAAAGTGTACACCCAAAGATAATGTCTAGAAACTCGCGACTTAAGGTAGATATGGTACATTACTGCGTTACTGAAAATACCCATTATAAGTGTAAATAACACAACTTATTTTTATTATGATGATTCACATTTCGTTCCTGGAACAAGCAACAACACCATGTCAACGGAAACTGGAAATTTTCAGAATTTGGAGTACTGCGCTGTGATTAACTTCCTTGTATAAAGGAAGTATGCGGAAAGAAATTCTTAAACAGATGACATCCAGTTTTCCGGCATATACAATGGTGAAAAAACAGGCTCGACTGTTTCAACAAGAGATAGTGACCTCAGAAGATGACAACCGCCCGAGGCGCTTTGTGATGGTCATGACCGTTGAAAATGTTTAGAAAGTCGAAAGACCAGTATAGGCTGATCGAAGAATTAAATTGGGCCACAAGAAGCTGGGATTTCACCTGAGCATTTGAATATAAAAACAAATTGGTGCACGTAGTCTACCGAGTATGCTTCTTCCTCTCCATAAGCAGCGGTGATTAGAGAGTTGTAAATATTTTTTGGAGTTGTGTCAAGATGATTTGGCTTAAATGTGTATTTTAACAGTTGATGAATCCTGGATTTGTTAGTGTGATCTCAAATCCAATCATGTGTCGATGCAGTGGAAGGGAATGGCCACAAAAACATTTCAAAGTCGAAAATTATGGCTGCCAATTTCTGGGATAGCGAGAGAATATTATCAATTGATTACTTGCCAAAGGGAACTACAACGAACGTTCAGTATTATTTGTTGAGTTAGGCGAGTGAGGTAGTCATGAATTAAATACGTGGCCGGTTAGCGCGCGAGTTAAATGATTAAAAGTTACAATTCCACAATAGAAGTGATATGTTTGAATTTATTTCTTCAATAATGACCTAAGACTAACTTACACCGAAAATCATCCTATTTTCTACCTGTCTAAATAATTTTTATACTAAATATTTATATGATGTAAAATTTACATATGTTCATTTGAACTCAAAACAGGTCAAAGAACTCTTCTGAAGTCTTGCCTAACAGAACAATTGTTCAATTGTTTAGTTGTCTATTTATTTTTTTTTTCATGATTTCCTTTATT